GAAGAGGCATGATAGCTCCGGGGCAGGGCAGGGGCAAGTGGAGCGCTCCGCAGCGCCCGGCTGCGACCCTGCAGTCACTCCCCACACCTGCCGAAGCGCCTTGCTGTTGCACCGTAGACCGAACCGCACACTATCTGTTGACAAAGACCCAGGCTCCCCATAGCAACCCTTCTGGGCCCCAGGGATGGTATAAATTACCCAGATCTAAAAAACTGACAAGCTCCTGGGAACCCTCCTTCATCACTCTCTTAACAACTCAGGGGAGCAGGTGACATCCACTGGGGTCTCCGCGTCCCCTTGCTCTTGGGTCCTTGGGAGGTTCTCACAGGCAAGTGTTTGCAGAGCTAATTACTCTATGAAGCTCTGACCTTACCGTTTTATTGATAGAAGTGGAACGAGAATAAATATGAATAAATTAAAAACCAGGAGAACCTCCCCTGGTAGATAACCACATGATAGGTTGCTTCCTTATATGTCTTTTTTCCATATGTATATAAGTATAGGTATGTGAGCATAATACATTCGTGATTTATTTTTATATGTAAGTTATATTAGGAGCATTTTCTCATTAGATCACCTTCTGAGACACACATCTCGAACACTTAACATTTTATATCAAGAGTATAGCCAACTTCTTTAACTATTTCTTCAGGCAAGACGTTTTCTTGGGTGAATGACATACCCCAGAGACACGAAGGCTTGCATCTCCCACTTAGTCTGTGGCATGTTAATTTCTGTCTGTGTGTGCCTCAGTCGTCTTATCTCAGGGTGGAGGAGAGGGGCCTGGTGCCTGCTGGCAAACCTGGTAATCTAAGTCCAACTCTTTGAACACACGTGGTAGATGGAGAGAACTGACTCTTGCAATTGTTCCCTAGCCTCTGCATGCACGCCATGGTACGTGTGCACGCGCACACGCGCAATAGTAAATGTGGAGTAAATAAAAGCGGAGGAGAGAGGCCATTAGATGAGCCGCATGGGCGGCGTTTAAAACAGCAGTGGGTAAGAGTATCTTTGGTTGCCTTAAAAATATTTTCATTGGCCGGGCGGTGGTGGCGCACGCCTTTAATCCCAGCACTCGGGAGGCAGAGCCAGGCGGATCGCTGTGAGTTCGAGGCCAGCCTGGGCTACCAAGTGAGTTCCAGGAAAGGCGCAAAGCTACACAGAGAAACCCTGTCTTTAAAAACCAAAAAAAAAAAAAAAAAAAATTTCATTGAGGATTTAAAGGTTAAGGAACATCATGAGGGGGCAAGAGACTAAGGCATGTGAATAGTAACCATGACAACAGGGCAGCGCTGGAAAAGTAGTTCAAGGAACCAAAGCTGATACAAGGGCATGGGTTTCTAGTACGATCAGCGTTAAAATGCATTAATTCTACTATGGCTGGGACAAAACTTTCTTTCACTTTGCTAAAATAAGATTCTAGTTTTAGCCAGGCAGTGGTGGCACACACCTCCCAGCACTTGGGCAGGCAGATCTCTGTAGGTTGAGGCCAGCCTGGTCTACAGAGTGAGATCCAGGACAGCCAGTATTGTTACACAAAGAAACCTTGTCTCAAAAAGCCAAAAACCAAAAAAAAAAAAGGATTCTAGTTTTAAAACACGCGATTGCTTAATATCAGCATCAGTCAGATCAAGGAATGTTTGACTTATAATCACTGCAATTATTTATACTTAAAGAATAAAGTAAAAAAAAAGAATAAAGTAGGTGTTACAAATGAAATTTTCTTAAAACATATGCTTATTATTTCAATTTTAAATTCTTACTAATGAAATAATATAATAAAAAATACAATATATTCTAGAGGGGAATAGTCCAAGCCAGGTATGGCAGTACACACCAGTCATCCCAGCACTCAGGACGTGGAGACAGGAGGATCAGGGGTCCACGGCCATCCTTAGCTATATAGCAGATTCAAAGCAGCACTGTGCTACATGAGGCCCTATCTCAGAAAAAAACACACCAAAAAGTAGCTCAAGCAGAGAAGAAGGGCAAAGGCAGATTGGAAGTCCATTAAAGAAACTAAGGGGATTTGGCATGTGTGGACCAGTCGGTAGGGCACTTATTTAGAATGCAGGAGTCCTGGATTCACTTGCCACCACTGGAAAAACTGAAGTAGGAGGATCATTTAAACATGGATATTCCGGGATAGCCTGGACAACATAGTGAAACCCTAACACACACACACACACACACACACACACACACACACACATACACACACACACATCTATACTGGTGATTCATTTGCACACTGAGAGAACTGTAGGTAAGTACTTGTTGCAAAGACTATACTCAGGGAAGCCTGGTAGATACAAAAGATGAGGTATTTTTATAACTTGCACCTGGGTCTAAAATGATTTCAAAAATCAAAATGTTAACTTATAGTAAAACTAAAAATAGTATGGAAAAGCCAGCAGTAGTAGCTGGTTAGCGTATTCAAACCTCTTCTCTCTTCAGAATGGAAATGGCATTGGGATGGAAATCATGAACCTCCTGGGGGCTGTTAGTGGCTCACGAGTGGAAGAGACAGGGAGGGTACATTCACCGTTGTCCGGGAAGTGAAGGCAGAGATGGAATTCCCAATTCAGTTATCTCCCAACTTTATTTGTAAATTCTAATACAGGTCTTTCGTTTTGTTTGGGTTAACTTTTTTTTTTTTGAAAAGGAGTCTTGCTATGTAGCTCAGGCTAGCCTCAAACTTTAGCTGATCCTGCTGCCTCAGCTTCTCTCGTGCTAGGACTCCAGGTGTTCACTTTCACGCATGGCCTGACAGTCATCTCACTTAGACACATTTCCTTGTTAGATGATGACGGTACCGCAGTGGACTGGGTGATGTGTCTCTTCCGGGCTGGAGATGCAGCTCAGTGGTAGAGTGCTTGCACGAGGCCTTGGGTTTGATCCCAAAACATCACAGAAAGTGGTGAGGTGGCAGGAGGGGCTGATTTTACAGTCAGAAGACACACACACACACACACACACACACACACACACACACACACACACGTGTGTGATTCAAATAATTTCAGTACCTTGACTGAGGGATTTATCTTCCTAATTCAGTCCTTCAACAAGGAAGAATTGCTCAAAGGGCTTTATCAAGGTCGTATGTAAGCTGACTGACTGTTCGATTCACTTCCTCCAGAAAGTGAAGGTAAAGTGTGAGTCACCCTCAGAGGCTATCTTCAGAGGAGTGAGATTTGAATGAGAGTATCCGGAGGCCCCAAGTCGTTCTTTGAGATGGTGTTCTGTGCTCGGTGTGAGTTCATCCTTGCCACAGGACAGGTGGGAACAGGAGGGCCTTGGAGCACAGTCATGAGCAGGGAAGGGCATTGTTCACAAGGGAGAGGGAGATCACAAGGACAAACATCCAACGAGGATGCTGGCAACTCAATTAGCCAGAACAGAAATGCCTGCCACAGGAGCCCAGCTCTCAGGGCACAGGAATTAGGGAAGGTGGCATTCCTTTTGCCCAGAATGCTTTGAAATTCACTGTCCACCTCTGTGGTCACACCCATGGCTGCTCACCAGCTTTTCTCTTGGTAAAGTGATTTCTCTTCAGCATTTGTTATACACGGAGGGAGAAGAGGAGAGGGAGAGATTACAACAATTTTTTTCCTTGGGATAAGACACATTTGCCATTCCACCCAAAGTAAGCTAGCCAACTTCTCTCTACCGGAAATCAGTTGACATGAGACTTATAATAAAAAAAAAATTAGATTTTATGGGTATGTCTTGCTTGCAGGTGTGTGTACGCACCACATGTGTGTGTTTTGTGTGTCCTGGATGTCTTTTGCCCTAGGCTGATTTTGACCAGGCCACACAAGACGTGAGGAAGCTGAAAAGCAGACCTGAAGATGAAGAGCTCAAAGAACTCTACGGGCTCTACAAACAGTCCATCGTTGGAGACATCAACATTGGTGGTACCCAATCATTGTTTTAGACAGATCCATATACGTGTTGGCACAGTGTTTGTAGATGGGCACAGTGAGAAGTAACATTAAAACTCTCTCCTTTTGGCAGCGTGTCCAGCAATGTTAGATTTGAAGGGCAAGGCCAAGTGGGAAGCATGGAGCCTCCAGAAAGGTTGTTAACCCTTAAATAAGGCTAGAAGAGAACTTTTTCACCTCCTACCATACCAGTCAGTGCGATAACGTGTTTGTCTCTCTCTAGGGTTGTCAAAGGAAGATGCCATGAGTGCCTACATTTCTAAAGCAAGAGAGCTGATTGAGAAATATGGGATTTAGAATTTGACAGGGGAGACAGATCTCCTTTGGAAGCCTTCATACAGCATCATGACGCTTAGGGGGAAATGCATTAGTAACTCTAAAAATCATGTGTATTTTTCCTATTAGCACGAATTTTAATACTTAGGACTGTGTCAACATAGTTACCTAGTTTTACTTGCTTGTGCAAGGTGACTTTTTAAAATTCCTTTTCAAAGATTGTTTTGTAGTATGCATATAAACTTGAATAAATATCTGTTCCTTTTTTTGCACTTGTATCTGTGTATGGGTGTTCATATGTGTGTGTTACACATGTGCTTGCATGCATGTGGAGGACAGAGAACAACCTTGGTTGTTTTTTCTAAGGTATGCTATTTACTTCCTGTGAGGCAGGGTCTCTCATCGGCTTGAAGCTCAGCAAGTACGCTAGACCGACTAGCCCCAGATACCTCTTATCTCTGTCTCCCCAGCAGTGGGATTACAGATGTGTTCCACCGTGCTTGGTGATCTGGGACTTGAACTTGGGTCTTCATGCTTATGAGGCAAGCACTTAACTGACTGAGCCATCTTCCCAGCCCCAGTATTTGTTTGCTTGACTTAATCTGTTCTTCTACAATGAGTTAGTGCTACTGGGCAACAAGAAAAGTTTGTTCAGAATTAATAGCAGCTAGACTATTCCTAATGCTTCAGGAAGTGAAGCCGGGGGGTGGGGGTGGGGGTGGGGGTGAGGGTGGGGGTGTCATGAGTTTAAGGACAGCCTGGGCTACGTGGTGATACCCTGTCTCAAAAAAGAAAAGCCTGAAACGGAAGGCAAGGGTGAGTGGGCTGGACAAACAAGAACAGTTCAGTTCCTTTGCTGCACCATGTAGCTTTGGACTCCCACGGTGGGCACTGTGGAATGGCAGGTAGACTTGCCTCCAGGTCACTTCCTGACTTCCTATGTGATATGGACAAGTTACCTAACCAGGCTGTGGTTTAGCTGCCCGTGGAGAGGCTCTGAGTTCCAGCCAATCACTGCCAGGGCAGCAGGACCACAAGACACCTGGGGTTGTAAGCACCCTGAGGTCTTCCTATCACAGTGGACAGTAATTGTTTAGCATTGTATTTTGATAAAGCAGCAATTATTCTTTCTTATGAAATAGGTCTAAGGTATATTTCTAAAGATTAGATTAAACTTTGAGCCACACTGTGGTATTGGAGATAATTTCCCTTTGTCAATCACTCTTGCCTTTAAAATAGTGCAAGAGGCTGCAGGTGTAACCCCACCTGGAGGCACTTGGCTGAAAAAACTTTGTATAAATGTCAATCAAATTAGATTCTAATAAGAAGATAAAGGACTCTAGCAGAAGTTTTCTTCCTTTAACAATATTTTTATTTATCCTTTGAAATTCTCCTAAATGTATACATTATGTTTTGATCACATCCACCCCTTACTTGCCTTTCCAACCCCCCGACAGACGTCCTCCACCATGTACCCCTCCCAACTTCATACCCTCTTCTCATCGTCTTCTTCTTCTTTTTAAATAGCTCACTAAGTCCAACTGGTGCTGCCTGCATGTGCCACAAGTGTGTAGTGGCATTCACTGGAGCATGAGTAACATACTAGTGGCGACACCCCCCTCCAAATACCCCCCTCTTCCCATTGCACCTATCAACTACAATAGCTCCTTTGCCTCCCTGACTTTTAGCATTCGTCTCTTCCCCAGATAAAGAAATGTTCCATGAAGACATTCATTAGTATGCATCTTTCCGGTCTCTGAAAACTAAAGAGCTGCATCTCCATGACCCCATGATCACGGCTTGTGATCCGTTTGCATGTTGGAAGGACCGAAGAAAGTCCATCTAAAAGCAATCGAGTGACGACAGCTCCAGACACTTGGTTATGTAGTTCTTGATGAATTTCTCGTTGTCAGGTTCAAACAGATAGAAGTGATCACCTGGCAGCGTGTGGACATCAATCTTCCCACTGGTGATGTCTTTCCAGCCTAAAAAATATACAGAATTTCATTCAGCAATAGATGGCATCAGCCAATGACAACAGAAGACATTCTTCCAGGTATTATTTCACCAAAAGCTGACACTCAGTGGTAGAGTTACATCCCGGGTCTCAGGTTCTGTGTATCCTGTGTTGTTTAATCTCTTTAAGACCTATCAGTCGTCAGTGGTGTGACCTGTATCTTAAATTTTACAGGAGACCAACATCTCTTTGTTTACACCCAGCAAAACTTGGGCTGGTTTTTCTATCTGTTTCAGTGACTAGTAGTTGACATTTGCTGAGAACCATCCAACGCCTTTTTCAACAAAATTCCCAGAATTATAAAAGCAATTTCACCTTCTATGTCCTTTACCATATCTTCGGATCCAATAAAACATGTTATGTCCCGAGAAAGAAGGGCTTCTGAGGGTGTGTCGAAGCTGCAAAGTGAAAGAGCTCATTTGTAAATTTCATCCTTCGCATCCCAGTCTTTTCCTCTCCCTGACTTCACTGAAGTGAAACAGGGTGTATAGCCTTGTTTCTTGTCTGTCTTCCACTAGTCCCCACAAGGAAGATGTTCACAGGGACCGTCTCTCCACTAGAAATGACCTGAGGTTCATGGGGGCCAGACTGTTTTCCAATCATGAACTAAGCGCTAGACTTGAATGTAACTTTTAGAAATCTATAGAGAAAAGGAGAATTCATTTGGCAGCCTTGTCAGTAGACTTGACACAGCTGGAGAAAGAATCAGTGAACTTAAAATGGTCATTGGAAGTGATCCAAGGTGGGAAATCCTACAAAGAAAAGGCAGAATGCCTAGGAGATGTGGGACACATCGATAGACAGTCACATAACAAACGGGCTAATACGTGTGGACTCGGGTGGTAGAAGGGGGGCTAGAACAACACTGGGGTCCAGGAAGGAGACTGAGAGCTGGGAGGGGTCATAGGCTTTGGTATCTCCCAGCGGATAGAGATCTCTGGGCTAACGGTCTGAACCTTGGTGATAGGAGATGGGAGAGGGCCAAGAGATGCTCTGTGGGCCTAGTTTTATGTATTTTGAGAAGTTGAGAGGTAAGAAGTGGTGAGGGCAGGACGGATTTGGGAGCAGGACAGAAGGAAGGGAGACAGGAGAAGGAGCAAGAGGAGGCTAGAGAGTGCCTTTCGAATCTGGAGGAAGCCAACTGTGAGGAGTAGTCAGCACGGTTTGATTCACTGAGGAAGAGGTGTGACTGTTGAGGGGACTGCTCATGTGGAACATCCCTATGGGTGAGTTTGTGTTTGTGCTACTGAGGCTGCTCGGAGTGAAAAAAATGCAATGGGGATGAAGTTTATTGTATTTTCCTTGTCAAAGTGGCTTCTGGGACTGTGGAGATGGCTCCGCACTTTCCACTCTTGCAGAGGACCCAAGGGTTCAGTTCCTAGCACCCAAGGGTAGTTGGAACAGTGTCTGTAACTTCAGTTTCAGGGGATCCAAATGCCCTCTCCTGGTTTCCTCAGGTACTACATGCACATGACACATACATGCAGGCAAAACACTCATACACATAAAATAAAATCTTTAAAGTGGGGCTGGAGAGATGGCTCAGTGGTTAAGAGCACCGACTGCTCTTCCAGAGGTCCTGAGTTCAATTCCCAGCAACCACATGGTGGCTCACAACCACTTGTAATGAGATCTGGTGCCCTCTTCTGGCCTGCAGGGACACATGCAGGCATACTGTATACATAATAAATAAATAAATGTTTAAAAAAATAAAATAAAATAAAAAAAATAAAAATCTTAAAAAAAAAATCTTTAAAGTGGTTTTGGATAAGAAATGGGCTAAACCTAAGCACGATTTCATTTAATCATCACAACCCCATGAGGTGTTGCTAATATTTCACTGCATGAATGAAACCCAAACTATTAAATACACATGCTCAGAATCTCACAGCTGCTAAAAAACCTGGACAGAAAGTTTTGATCTTAAAGGATGGACTCTAAGGAAGACATGTTTATTCACTGAGTATGTTTTAATTATGACGGCAAGCTTTTACATACATCATTTCATTGAATTTACATAACAATATGCATTGTTTCTTGATTAAAAAATTATTTGTGCCTGGGCATAACCCTACCAGTCAGGCTGCTGAGGCAGGGGGATAGCAAGTTCAAGACCCATCTGGCCTACAGAGAAAATTCATTGCTAGCCTGGGCTACATAGTAGGATCATGTCTCAAAATTCCAAGAGCTGGAGAAGCATCACAGTAGTAGAACACCTACTTAGGCTGCACAAAGCCCTGGGTTCTGTACCTCCCAAATCCATGAAACCTTTTAAATTGACAAGTGTAACTGACACAGTGTGATATTTTGATAACTAGGAAGAGTATAGTGATTAAGAGAAGCTATACACCATCTCACATTGTTACGTCTTTTGATGGTGTGAACATTTAGAAGCTGCAGTCCTATGGTGAGTTCACCATGATGCCCAATGGATCTCAAAATTATATTCTCGTCAACTGAAACCCTGCTCTGCCTAGTACCCCCCCCCCCCATTCTTCCCCTCTCTTCTGGCAAATGGTAACTTCCATTCTGCTCTCTATGTCTATCTGTTGACTTTTACAGATTCCATATATGTGAGGCTGTGTGGTGTTATCAGATGTATAATTTGTAAATATTTTCTCCAAATCTATATGTCTCTTTGTTGATTATTTTCTTTGCTCTTTTTTGGGATCATATAAAAAAAATTCATTACCTAGAGAAAGTCAGAAAATTTCCCTTTATATTTCCTTGCAGAAGTTTTTTAGCATCAGATCTATGGTTGCCTTTAATTCATTTTGAATTACATATATATAATTCATATGATGATTTTTGTACACATATAAGCATACACTATATATTATTGTATGATGTGTGTGTAAAGTAAAAAAAAAATCCAATTTCCTTCTTTTACATTGGATATCCAGTTTCTTAAAACTCTTTATTAATTTAAGAGACTGTCCTGGGCCAAAGATGGCTCAGTGGGCCAAGATGCTAGCCACCAAGACACTTCCGGCAAGCTTCATTACCTGAGTTCAATTTCTGGGACGCACATGGTGGAAGGAAAGAACCAACTCCCAAAAGCTGTCCTCTGACCTCCACTTGAATACTTTAGCATGCGCTACACTCAGCCCCCACACTCTAAATAAGCGAAGAGAATGTCCATATATATATATATGTTTCACTCCCTAAAGCTTAGTTTTCAATGAATGCATTTTAAGAGAGCTTTTCTATTCTAAGGAAATGGTAGCATCTAGAGCTGACTCACGTGCCCCTGCTCCTGGCAGCCTTTGCTATCCCCGAGAACGTGTCTTCTTACGTTACTGCTGGAACTGACGAATAAAAACGGCTAAATGAAGACAGCTGCACACCAACTGATCTTTTTGTGACAAGAACACTTTAAAACACTGCTCTTAGCGACCCTCAAGACTGCGACACATCGCTACCCACTGCAGCTGCCATTGCCACTGAGTTGTACACAGATCTGAGCTGGTCTGGCCTGCTTCCTACACAGTTTCAACATTTTTGGTCTTGACCCACCTCTCACTGATTTTTTTCAGACAGTGTAGGAAGGACCTAGTTTATTTATCCACATATGGATATCCAGTTGGTCAAAACTCAGATACCTGCTGCTGCGAGGGATTCATTTCTAGCCCTCTTTCCATTCCAGGGGTCTGCATCTGTTTCTCAGTTGCTTTCTTTCCTATGGCTCTATAGTATGATTTGAAGTCAGGTGTGGTGACACCACTCAAATTGTTTGGATGTTTGTTTGTTTTTGTTCAGGATTGCTTTGGCAATTTGATCTTTTGTGCTTCCATATGAATTTTAAGAATTTTTCCTCTATTCCTATGAAGACTATCATTAGAATGTTAATGGGCACTAAATTGATTTTTTTAGATTGTTATTGCATACTAGCTCTTCAAAAATGTGTTCTCTCTTCTCTCTCTCTCTCTCTCTCTCTCTCTCTCTCTCTCTCTCTCTCTCTCTCTCTCTCTATCATTCTGGCCTTTTTCAGAAACACAAAACAGCTTCTCCTGGTGAGATGATCAATCAGATAGAAACGGTGAGAAGAGGATGGACCTGGAGTATCTGCAAGGGGGGGGGATGAGGGGGGGACACTGTGAACTTTGTGGCAGACCGAAGATGGGTGGTGAATGGAGAAGCAGAGAAAATGATGGAATTGTGGTGGGTCTCAAGATGACTGCCCCATTTTTATAACTGTCAGCTTCCACTGGCAAGTAGCATGCCCCTACACACACACACACACACACACACACACACACACACACACACACACACACGTGCGTGCACACACACTGTCCCAATGCTAGTTCTGGGCTTTGCAAAAGAAACAAATATGGCCGGGCGGGGCGGCGGCGGCGGCGGCGGCGGCGGCGGCGGCGGCGGCGGCGGCGGCGGCGGCGGCGGCGGCGGCGGCGGCGGCGGCGGCGGCGGCGCACGCCTTCAATCCCAGCACTCGGGAGGCAGAGCCAGGCGGATCTCAGTGAGTTCGAGGCCAACCTGGTCTACAGAGCCAGATTCAGGACAGGCATCAAAACTACACAGAGAAACCTTGTCTCGAAAAATACCAAAAAAAAAAAAATAAAATAAAATAAAAAATAAAAAAAAAAAGAGAAACAAATATGCTTTTAAAGGTCCTAGCCCAAGGGGAGCCAGGCCTAGCCAGGCAAGAGAACGCAGGAGGCTAAGTGCTGACCCCAGAGTGATTTCTCTGGGGAAGTTAAGACTAGGAAGCCCTGCCCCCAATTGACTCAGGGGTCTCAGGAAGGATTTGGTTGTTAACACTTCAGTCTGATCAGAAAAACCAAGCATGGAGACAAATGCCCTCCAAGAGAAGGGGATGGAGAGGTGATGTGGAGTTCTGCAATTCACTCACTAAACAGTGAACCTGGCCAACTTCTGCTCCCTGCTCTGTGCCTTCCACACTTAAGTAGCCCATCCACTCTTGCTGATACCTAGACTGGGAATTGTAATAGTTTATTTAATACATTTTATTATGTGATAAAATATGTACGTCTAATCATGAATATTTTTAAAGAAAACATTGCCTGTCATCTTTCACAGATACAATTTCTGTGCCCCAAATCCATTCTAAGCTAGTCAAAATATCACAGGAGGCCTCAGAAGAAACGAACACATTGCAACCTTTAGAATCTCATACACACAGTATCTGTGAACTGCCAATCAATATTTTTCTTTTCTTTTGGGATGGGATTTTGAGACAGGGTTTTACTGTGTAGCCCTGTTTGTTCTGGAACTCACTCTGTAGACCAGGCTAGCCTCCAACTCACAGAGATCCACCTGGCCCTGACTGTTCAGTGTTGGGATTAAAGACATGCACCACCACTGTCTGGCTTATATTTTTCTATAAATATCAACACAGAGAGAGAGAGAGAGAGAGAGAGAGAGAGAGAGGAAGGAAATTACTTACACGAAATTTTTCAAAACGATAACATCTGCCTTCAGAATGGGAACGCACTGATTGAGGAAATCCTTGTCATCTATGAGATGCTTGGGGGTGCCTCCAAAATTCTGAAGGTAGTGTCTGATTTGTTCTTCTGACAGTTTGTTAAGTTCAGGAACTTGAGGCCGGGATTTTGACTTGAAACATCAACAAACACAAGGCTAATGATCATTCATGAGACACGCTAGCCCCCAAACTCAAGCCTGCCTCCTTAAATCAAGGAGGGAGAGGAAAGTGTCATAATAACCTTAGCATCAGAATGCCACCCCAATGGCATTCCCGATTTAGAATGCTAGGCCCGTTCCAGTCTGTACAGAGGAAGCAAAGAAGGTCGAAGTTGGCAAGAAGGGACCCGGAATCATGGGGCTAGCTTCAAAAGCCACAGCTGATCCAAAAGTTTGGCATCATTTTAAGATTCTTTCCCAGCACTGATTGGTTCCTCTCCTGAAAGTTGATTACGTTCCCAACTCAGACAGCATGCTTAGGACGGGAAGCAGGGAAGGACAGCACCAGCCCAGAGGGGCAGAAACAATGAGCCAGTACTCAGAAGCTGAAGCTCATTTCGGAGGGACCAAGAGAAATACGGTGAAAGATCACAGGGGTTTTCAATAGCACATGGTATCCGTGTCATCATCCCAAAGGCACACAACGACTCAGTCATCAGTACCCCATTTCCCTCTTCTTCATTCCCCCACCCAAAGAAAACCAGAACACTTACGTGCGGGGCGTATGCACTGGACACAAAGAAATGCAGCGGTTCCATTTTGTGTTTCTCCTTGAGGCGCAGTGCGGTCAGGAAAGCAATGTAGGATCCCAAACTAAACCAGGGAAGAGATCAATGTGATAGACGGGGGTGGGCAAACCTCACGGGGACCAGGTGTCGTGAGCACAGCAGTGACCGGGGGTCAGGCAAAAGCTAAGTGGCTGATAGCTGGTTTGTAAAAAGTGTATGTCACATAGTAAGAGTTTCAGGGCTGAGAGACAGTTCAGTCAGGAGAGCACTGGCCGCGCATATGTGCTGACCCAAGTTCCGATCCCCGGAACCAATGTAAAAAGCTCGGTCCTGCTGCTCAGGCCTGAAATTTCAACAATGCAAAACTGAGGGACAAAAATAAGAAGACCCCTGAAAGATGGGGGGCCTGATAGCTTGGCGTATGTGGCCAAGTTTCAGGCCATTGAGAGACCCCATCTTAAACAAAAGATGAGTGGTGACTAAGAGCCAACATCCAAGTTCATCCTCCGACTTTTTCATGTATTCCAAGCACATACACCTATCCATTCACACACACAAATGTGTACACACACACACACACACACACACACACACACACACACACACACGCACGCACGGGTCGGGGGCAGGGGACTTGCTCTCTCTTGAAACTGATCGTCAGGTATTTGGCTATAGTAGTGGGCAGTTGACTAACACAAGGAACGGCTTAATTTCTGTTTCCTTTCTCCACTAAAGCTGCATCTTACTTTGTTCTTACGATATATATCAACAGTTCTCAAACTGTGCTCTGGGGGCACCAAGGGATTTCCAAGACCCCATCTGTGCTGGCTAGTTTTATGTCAATTAGACACAAGCTAATGTCACCCGAGAAGAGGGAACCTTAATTAAGAAAATGCCTCCATAGGGCATTGATAGGGGAGGGCCCAGCCCATGGTGGGTGGTGCCTTCCCTGGACTGCTGGTGCTGGGTTCTATAAGAAAGCAGGCTGAGCAAGCCATCGGGGGAAGCCATGTAAGCAGTGTTCCTCCATGGCTTCTGGATCAGCTCCTGTCTCCAGGTTCCTGCTCTGTTTGAGTTCCTGGCCTGGCTACCTTCAGTGATGGACTGTAGTGTGGAAGTATGAGCGGAATAAACCTTTTCCTTCCCAAGCTGCTTTGGATATGGTGTTTTGTCACAGCAATAGTACCCTAAGACACCATTCTATGGCCTATGAAGTCCAAAGTATTTTCCGAACAATACTAACATGTTATTTGTAGTGCCAGTGAGATGGCTCAGCAGATACCAGCACTTGCTACATAAGCCTGATGACCTAGTTTGATCTCTGGATCTCACGGTAGAAGGAAAGAAACAACTTCTGAAGGTTGGCCTCTTACCTCCACATTCATACCACGGCACACGTGTCTTGCACTTACACACACCACAGTTCTTTGTGATCACTCTTCATTTAAAATGTTTATCTGCTTTTAATTATGTGTGTGCATGCGCATCTGTATGGGGGTATGCTCGCGTTAAGTGCAGGTGCCTATGGAGACCAGAGGCATCAGATTCCTGGGAGTTGGAGTTACAGGCAGTTGAGAACTGCCTGATGGGAGTGGTGGGAACCCAAGTCAAGTCTGAAGCAAGAGCAGTGTGCCCTGTTTACTCCTGAGCAATCTCTCCAGCCTCGTGATCTCTATTCATTTCATCCCCATAGGTAAGAACTACTCCTTCCAGCTTCATGGAGGTGGAAACTAGTTTAGAAGCCTAAGAAATTTGCCCAAGGTCATGGCCATGTAGCTTCGAGGGGGTCTGCAATTAGGTCTATGCCCTTGGGAAATAAACACTATTTCCGTATTTTTTAATTTGAAAAGTAGATAGAAGCTTCTGGTAGATTCTTCATTTTAGGTGTAATTCCTATTCAAATTAGAGAACTGTAAAAGTTTTGATTGGAGATAATTACCCAGCATTCTCTTTAACCAGGAGAAGTTGTATCTCACAAAACACAAAACACACACATGCACTTGTGGTTAAAGAACCTCTCTAGGGTCGTGCATGTGATAAGCAAGTGCTCTGTTATGCCCTAAATCCCACACATGCTGTGTACAACAAAATTTAAATACCTGTGGCCAAAAAATGCAAATGCTTTATCCTGGATGATGGGGAGCAGAGCAGATACAATTTCATCAGCTATCTGGTAGATGTCGCTTGCAAACGGTTCATGAAGGCGAGTTTCTCTTCCAGCCAGCCTTACAGCATGAACTGGAAGTTAAGAGACAAGTCACTCACACACAAAGAAGACCCTGAGATGCTGTAAACAGATTAACAGGGATGGATGAGATGCCTTGCCGTTGTAAAAGACCTTATATTTACATGATGCAACTAATTTCAAAGAAGCAAATGATAGTGGTCAAACTCACCGTGATGGCTGTGAGGTCAAGCTTGGTTGGTACTTGATTGGATCTGGGGTCTTCTAAGAGACATACTTCTAATGAGCATGTGACAGTATTTCCTCTGTGGTTCCTGCCTGAATTCCTGTTTGAGTTCCTGCCCTGACTTTGCTCAACAATGGACTGTGATCAAGAAGTATAAGCTAAATAAACCCTTTTCTCCCCAGGTTGCTTTTGGTCATGGTCTTTATCACAAAAACAGAAAGCAAACTAAACAGGCTCCATCTCAAATAAACGAGAGTACTTACAATGATGTCATTAAAATCCATTCACGCATGAATCAGGGAGTTTTCTTCTTCTAGTGAATGAACAAGTTGAGAGCTGAGGTAAGTATGGCTGGAGCCACAAGGACAGGATTCGGAATTTTTTTTTTTTTTTTTTTTTTGTGTGTGTGTGTGTGTGTGTGTGTGTGTGTGGTTTTTCCAAGACAGGGATTCTCTGTGTAGTCCCAGCTGTCCTGGAACTAGCTCTGTAGACCCGGCTGATCTCAAACTCACAGAGATCTGCTTGCCTCTGCCTTCCAAGTACTGGGATCAAAGGCGTAGGCCACCACTGCCCAGAAGTATCTGAAATTCTTAAAGGGACAGAAAAAAAGCTGGGAGACAGTTCCAAGGAGACATCTTATAAAGAGAAAATGTCTGAAGAAAGGGAACATTCTATAGACACATGAAAATACCAAAGCATAAGAAGACTATAGAATCAGCAACCTACACAAACCAGGTGCCAATGTTTTCTCTAAGCTGCACTTCACTGTATCAACACAAGAGGGCACTAGCAAAGTACCACCCCATCCCCAGCCTAGGTGCTTAGGAGGAAAATCCAACATCGGGGCAAAACCTAACACAGAATACAGAAAAGGTAGATCAGACATCTCTGGCCAGTGAAAATATTTACTAAGGAACTCATGGAGGAGAAAAAACAATGCCCCCAAGTGAATTAACTCCAGTAAGGAATGGAAAAATAATCACTGTAATTTGAACATTTAAAATGCTGACTAGAAAGAGACAAATAATTGCCCAGATTGCCAGAAAAAAAAACTGAATAAAAAGACAAAAGTTATTCTAAAACTGAAAAAGAAAAATCCTTTCCTTGTGATAAGACAGGGCAAAGCATTTGTGGATGTAGGGAACAGGAATGGAGGAACCAGGAGAAGGAAAGAAAAGAAAGAGGGGCGCAAAGGGGGCTGGAGAGACGGCTCAGCAGTTCAGAGCACCGGCTGCTCTTCCAGAGGACCCAGGCTCGATTCCCAGCCCCCACACAGGGGCTCATAGCCATCTGTAACTCCAGTCCTAGGAAAGCCAACACCCTTTTCAGACCTCCATGGGAACACAGACACCCATACAAATAAAATAAAAAGACATCTTAAACAAAAAGGAAGATGGAAAAAAAAACAGTCATGGAAGTCAGAAAAACTCGTATCACGAGAAATCACGTAAAACTTCTCTGGAATAAGATGGGGACCTTCACAGTGAAGGAACGTCTGGGGCCTCAAGATGGCTCAGAGCGTAAAGGCACCTTCTGCCTGATGACTTGAGTTTGACCCCAGAACCCACGTGTTAGGAGAGAAGTGACTCCTGAAAATTGTCCTCTGACCTCCACACAAGCTCTGCTGTGGGTGCACTCCCCAAAAGTAATTGTTTAAAAAAATTAAAAAAAAAAAAAAAGGAGCCTTCTTCAATGATTGCTTGGCATCTGAGATCATGCTTCTAGGTACTGAGAAAACTGACTCCTGACAGTTAAGTTACAATGTTGGATCTAGGGGCTAGGAATAGAGTTCATTTAGTAAAGTTCTCGGTGTGCTTTGCCAGCCAGGCAGCAACCCAGGATCCATGGGACTTGCCGTCTACTAGCACAGCCTGATCAGTGAACCCCAGGTCCTAATGAGAGACCCTGTCTCAAAAACAAGGGGAACAGTTCTGAGGAACAACCTGAAGGTTGACTTCTGGCCTACCACACACACACACACACACACACAAGCACATGTTAGAATTTAAAGACAGAAAATTTAAAAACCTCAAATTAATACACCATTTATAAGAGAGAGACCATCAGGGTGGTGTTTGACTTTGCTGACAAATTTGAAGCTGGACAACAGCAAAGCAAACCTTTCAAGGACCTCAGGTAGCGTACAGACAGCAGTAACCCATGCCCAGTGTTAGAACGGGTTCTACAGAGGTAGACTGTAGCGAGAGTTCTTGCAGAGCTCTGCAGCTGGTTTGATTCCAGAGTGTTAGCTCCTGGCTTTGATCTGCCTTTTGTGACTGCTACATTTTGTGTCCGGTACCTTCCCTTTGAAGTGTGTAAATCTTATCTGAGAGTTTCCTAGAGGTTCAAAATCTATGCAAGACTTGGTTGTGAGAGAACTCAGAAAACTGAGATGTCCTGTGACTGGGAATTGCTTTGGCATTTGTCTCTTTGGGGAGCTTCAGATAAGAGGTTTTGGTATGTGGAAATTGACGTGATAAAGGTGTAAATTGTATAACAATGAAAAAAGCCTTTTGCACCGGGTGGTGGTAGTGGTGGTGCACGCCTTTAATCCCAGCACTCGGGAGGCAGAGCCAGGCGGATCTCTGTGAGTTCGAGGCCAGCCTGGTCTACAGGGCGAGATCCAGGACAGGCACCAAAACTACACAGAGACACCCTGTCTCGAAAAACAAAAAACAACAACAACAAAAAGCCTTTTGCAAAGCTACACTTGGTCAGTTCACCAGAGGCTGACTCCCCTGTGGCTGTGAAGGCTAAAATTCATCCTAGAGTGACCCAGTTTCCTCCAGGGACTCTCACGAATTGAACACAAGAGTAGGGACCTGGCTGGTCTAAGCAGTGTACAAAAACAGGCAGCGTCTGCTCTGTTTTCATTCTTTATTTATTTGGAGGGTTATAGTTTTGAGAACAGACTTTTAGATGGTGGAATACCACATGACCAAGTTCTATGTTGTAATAGAAGAGTCTCTGCTGGGCGGTGGTTGGCGCACGCCTTCAATCCCAGCACTCGGGAGGCAGAGCCAGGAGGATCTCTGTGAGTTCGAGGCCAGCCTGGGCTACAGAGTGAGTTCCAGGAAAGGCGCAAAGCTACACAGAGAAACCCTGTCTGGAAAAACCAAAAAATAAAACAACAAAAAGAAGAGTCTCACTTGACACGGAGTGATTCTGAAAGAGTTGGGAAAGACAACCAAAATATAAATGGAGGGTGTGGTAGCTGATTTTGGTTATCAACTTGACGCATCTGAAAAGGGAGACCCTCCACTGAGGACTTGCTTTCATCACACTGGCCTGTGGGTGGGTGTCTCTGTGGGACATTTTCTTGATTGCTAATTACTGTAGCATGGCTCAGTCCACTCTGGACAGTACCATTCCTAGGCATGTGAGCCTGGGCTGTACAAGAAAGGTTGCTAAACCTTGTTCTGGGCCTGGGAATAGGCCAGGAAATAGCTTTACTCCATAGGTTTCTGCCTCAAGTACCTGCCTTGGCTTCTCTTGATAATAGACTATAGAGTCCTGTAAGCTAAAATAAGCCCTTTCCTCCCCAAGTTGTTTTTGGTCATTGTGTTTATCACAGCAACAGGGAGCAAAACAGAACAGAAGCTTAATATAAAGATATAGATGGAAATAAAGAAATCATGGGTTGTGTTTTAATCTCTGATAAGGTACCATTTGGAGACAGAAACATCAAACAATACCAAAATGGACTCAGTGGTTCTAAAGGCTTCATGTTACATAGCAATTGCCTCTAGATTAAAATGTTTCATCCTGGAGAAGGTCAGCAACTCACAAGTCTCATAAAGTTCCTTAAATTTGCAAGACTCAGAAGGCCTGTCCCAGAGGTTCTATAAACAGTTACTGTTGCTAGAGAGAAGAAACTTTTAAGCCTGCAGAGTTCCCTGTGAGTCACACAGGGAGCCCAGATATGCAGCTTTCATCATTTATGTTGCGATGAGTGTTTTGGTAACATGTTATGCATGTTCTGGAAAGTAACCTCTCACTCACACTCATGTAACTTCCCAAAGTTATGTGTTATGCATGTTCTGGAAAGTAACCTCTCACTCACACTCATGTAAGTAACTTCCCAAAACTCACTAGCTGATTAAATTAGACTTGGGTGGAATTTTTTATTGGGTCTGACATTAGTTTACATCTCTCCAGGAAAAGTCACAAGCCACTAAGATTTTTTTTCCCCGAGACAGGGTTTCTCTGTTTGTAGCCCTGGCTACCCTGGAACTCTGACTATAGACCAGGCTGGCCTTTAATTTACAGAGACCTACCTTAATTCAAATGTCTATTCACTGCATTCATTTTTGTAACATAGAAATACAGGATGTGCAAGAAAAAGAGACAAGTACACCACTGAGAGTTCACATGTGAAATGGAGAAAAAGATAAACTTGACAATGTAAATCTTGTAGCTAAATAATAAAATTTTGTACTTGATATAGAGAATGTATATATTCACAGTCACAGAACATCTGTGACCACTCATCATAGTGAGGGGAAAAAAATATCACAGAAAATCCCACAAAGTGGAAGCAGAATCGTGAGAAGGAAGCCCAGGCCGAAGCCTCCTGCAGCTGAGAAAGTTAACACTGAGAGTCAGTATGTAATTTTGCAAGACTTTCTCGCTTGTTAGAACCCGTTTTATGATTTGGGATGAGCTACAATTTCCAATGGCAAAGAATTTGTCTGCCATTTATTTTATGATTTATTAACTTGTGAAATTTAAGCAAAGAAGGGCAGGTCTGTTTAGGCGGATGAGTCACTTTAGAAGAAAGAGGGCGTACAACAGACACGTTAGAGAGACACACTGGGGATCTTTAAG